CAATGGATCCCTTGCCATCTATGGCACAGTAGTAAGTTAGCACTGTACTAATACAATAATTGGATTTAATTATACATGATTGTATCCCATTTTCTTCCAGGAAGAGGCTTTCCTAGGATTATCCCATTTTACCTTCATGACAATTTTAAGGGTTATGAATTCAACATTTACTTTTTGTAACTGCTACAGTTTCTCTTTTTTTATATATTCTAAAATATCTTTGCAAGAATGCATGATTGTGTATGACTCCAGATTTTCCTAAAGTTCCCTAGATATGGCAGAATTACAATTCCAATGCATGGCTTTTGCCATGCTGGCTGGGAATTATGGGAGTCATATTTGCAACACATGTAGAAGGAATTCCCAAGCAGTGCAGTATTACAAATATCTTTATTTTATTTCTGATTTGCCAGGCTATCCTCCCATATCAGCACACTATAAACCAATCTTGCCTAAACTTATATACTCCAGATTACTAGAATTTCCAGTCAACATGGCCAGTGGAAATTGGATCATATGTAGAAATGTGGTTTCCTTTTCATGAAATGAACTAAGTTTCTATCCACATACTGAAAAAAAAGTCATTTAGCTAACATTTGCAAGTTTCTAAGATATTGCTTAATGTAGTCAGTTCCAGACTGAACAATCATCTGATAATGTGTTTATTTTTCTTCAGAATGAAGATGCTGCAGAATATATATGTGTAGCTACAAATGATGCTGGTGTGGTTGAACACCGTGTAACTCTTACCTTACATAGTAAGCTACAGAACTGTATTCATACAATTTCTTAAGAATGTTGCAATCAGATGTATCTACTGTATTTATAAATCTTTGTAGCTTCCAAACAAGCTAAATTCTTTAACACATACTCTCTTCAACTTACTTCCCCTTCAGTTTCAGAATCTGAACAAGAGATTGTTTAAAGATATAGTACCATGCCAATGAGCCCTTAGTCAACTTCATAAATGAATCTCAAACAATATATTTTTTAGCATGAATTTGCTTTCAGATTTCATTTCCTTCATCTCCTTCTTGTCAAGGAGGAGTAGTTTTGCACAGCCTCAGACATTTCAGATGGATCTGGATTTTTGGAATTCTTCGCCATACCTGAGGTTTTTTCTTTTTTTCCCTTTTCCTGATTTAGGCATGCTAAATTGATCTTTATTTCTTTTGTTTCCCAAGGGTAAAAGCAGAAAATGCAGGAAATAGCTTCCAACATTCAGAAATTTGCTACTGAAGTTTTGCAGAGTAATCCTTGGAGGCTTTTGAGGCATAAAAAAGGGTTCAGGTTGCAGATGCCAGCTGTGGATTGCTCACTCCCCACTCACAGTCTCTCACTTACCTCAAACTGGCTTTGATATAATAACAAAAATGCCTGCCACTTATGACCATAAAAATGAAAATAGGATAGTAAATGAAAAGGAGTATCTATAAATAAGAGAACTGGAAATAATGCTGCACTATAGTATAGAACAGAGAAATGTTGAAAGGGGAAAGAGTCCTCTGCTCTTACTGATTTACTACAATACCCAGCTAACCAGGAATATTTTGTTTCTCTTAGGTGCGCCTGTTATTAAAATTGAACCAGTAGAGACTATTGTTGATGCTGGAACCACAGCAATGCTGAATTGCCAAGCAGAAGGAGAACCTCGTCCAACTATTGAATGGTCTCGTCAAGGCTGGCCTCTTCTGAATCAAGACCGAATGACTGTTTTGACAAATGGCTCTCTGCGTATTGCAGTTGCTCGTAAAGAGGATACTTCTGAATATGAATGCGTAGCTAGGAATCTCATGGGTTCTGTCCTTGTCAAAGTGCCATTCATTGTTCAGGGTTAGTGTTAAGGCTTAGATTCTGCTTAACTAAACTGCTCTTTGTAGTTAATCAGCCTGCATATTCTTAAGAAGCAACAAAAAGATATAACTATATCTATTTCCATATCTTATTCAGTAAAGTTATGTGTTGAGACCTACTACTGTCACAACAGAGAACTGTTGGTGTGCTTTTAGAAATAATATTAATTGAAACCTGAAAGTCTCCTATACGCTCAAAATTTCTACTTGCAGGAAAAGATGAATTTTACATCTCTGTCACTCGTTACATTTAACCTCCATGGGGAGTAAGCGAAGGCAGATGTTTTTCAATATGTCTGCATGTGTGCTAAAACATCCAATTATTCTCAAAGCAGAGGTCCTACAGACATACTTGCCCTCAGACATTCATAAAGTATGGTTTCTAAGGGCATGGCATTCTTTCTTGTGCATGTTCTAGAAGCAAACCATTGAAAGTGTAAGAGTGAAGAGTGCCTCCAATTTTTGTTAAAAGAAAGCGTGCCTCAATTATCAGAGGCTTGAGAAACAAGATAATGTTGAGTTGAGGGCCGAATCCTTCAAAACGATTCTTCCCACTCTCTGAGGGCATTGAGAAAGGTGATACTTAGGATTCCAGTGCTCCCCCTAGAAGTGAGGAGGACCTGGACCTGGAGGTGGGCCTTCTCTATGGTTGCTCCAATGCTGTAGAACACCTTGCTACTACAAATATGCCTGGCCCTCTCATTGTTGGCCTTCTGCAGGGTGGTGAAACCCATTTTATCTAGGCAGGCTTTTGAAGGTTAGTGGTGATCTGGACTGCTAGTTTTGAGGGGATAATTTAAATTATTTCTGTATCATATTGTGAACTGGCCAATCTAGGGAATGGACTCTATAATCAGTAAATAAATACAAGAAATTACTTATGTCATTATTTTCTATTTTTTTCATATAAAGGCCCCAGTAGTTTTTATGACCATTCATTCATTTTTGTCTTCCTTCAGCCTATTCAAAACATTCACAAAGTGATGTTAGGAAGTAGACTTTAATTATCCATTAGCAAAAACTACTCTAATAATGCAAGCAGAATAATATTGGGCATCTTCAGAAATTTGAGACCAGCCTATAACATGGGGTCATTTTTAGTTTGTGAGAGGATAGAGAAAAGGAGAGATTTCTGATTCCCCTGCTTAAAAAAGAAAAGCCAAGAAGAGCAATTGCTAATTCTTCTGAATTCCTGCCAATTCATTATTCAAAATTCAGTTGTGGGTCAAAATTCACAACAAAACTGTTGTAGACTAATGGCAGATTAACCTATTGATTTTTTAAGACTGCAATCAACAGCATGCATGTATTGGCTCTAAAAGAAGTTTTGACTAAATTAATGGAATTTCTTCCATTGCAGTGCATGGTGGGTTTTCTGAATGGCTTGAATGGCAACCATGTAGCGTAACATGTGGCCAGGGTCTCCAAAAGAGGATTCGTCTGTGCAACAATCCTTTCCCTGCTAATGGTGGACAACGTTGTATGGAGCCTGATCATGAAATACGGAGCTGTCAGAGCAAGCTGTGTCCAGGTAATTACTCATCTTTCGTATATATGCACTGGTTATCTTATAAATCTGAAACTGATTGATACCATAAATTCTTAAGAGATACTTCTACAGTGATTCAGTGTAACTATTTGCTTCACTGACTCATGAATAATCCACACATTATGTTATCCCCTAGCATTCTCTCTTGATGCTAAAGTCATTTAAATGAAATTCCACTTGTGTCCTCGGAGCCTACTTCTAAATTCACAAACTTAGCAACCATAACAATATTTAGTTTCTTTGATTTCATCAAGAGGATGTACTGAGGAATTGCAGAATAATGGCCTATATTGCTGTTTAATGTATACCATCAATCCATTGTAAATGTCATAAAATGTCATTATTGTAATTTTGAGGTTATCAATCATTTTAGTGCATATGAATAACTGCAAATATAATATGTGTGCTATTTAGTGGATGGAAGCTGGTCAGAATGGGGGTCTTGGGAAGAATGCTCTAAAACCTGTGGGCAAGGCAATAAAACCAGAACCAGAAGTTGTAGCAATCCTCCAGCTCAACATAGAGGAAGGCCTTGTGAAGGCAATGCAATGGAGTCAATTGTGTGCAACATTAGGCCCTGCCCAGGTAAGAATGCTGAGGATTTCAGTGGTATGCTTGATATGAATTCCCTTTTCTTCCTGAAATGTGATTTTCCCCCCCATTTCTTTTCCATAATGAACCATCTGTAAAGCTTGTCTACGTGTTGTCTCCAAAGTAAACATTTGAATTGGTTTTAAGAAGATTAAAAGTTAAGAAGGTTTTGAGATTTTACTCTTCTACAATGTTTGCATAATCTGTTTTGAGATTCATTTCAGACTGCTGCTTTTAATTTAAACTTTTTACATACTAGATTTAAAAGAAGTGATCAAAACTGTAAATGCCATGAACACTTCTGTTTAGAAAGATGCTACCTACCATTAATAAATTCATAAAATTAAAAACTTCCTCTTAGAAAGCCAAAAGCAAAATGGTTGGATCCAAAGTTTGTGATCATAAAAAAATCACGTATCTGCCTTTATCATTTTCTCCTTCCCATCTCAAGGAGACTTTTGATTCCCTTCTAATAGTATGAGCTGTGTTAGAAGTGGTAGCTCAAAATGCCCTTGTCTAGTTTTAGGCAATTTCCTTCTTCTATTGTGTTCCAAAATTCTTGGAATCCCCTGAAAGTCTTCTGGTGAGAAGCAGAGGATGAAAGATACCCACTGTGCAAGTGGCCTTCCACATATGCCACTTTCTTATCCAATCCAATATTTCTTTTCCTTTTCTCTTTTTAAAGTTTTCTTTTTGGACTAACTTTGTTTGTCTTCTAGTTAATGGTGCCTGGAGTTCCTGGTTATCATGGGGACCTTGCAGCGAGACATGTGGCAAAGGTACTCAGAACAGAATACGGCTGTGCAATAATCCTCCTCCATCATTTGATGGTTCTTACTGTGATGGACCTGATGTACAGATGCAGGTTTGCAATGACAGAGATTGTCCAGGTAAGTTACAAATAAGTTTTGTTTTGTTTTTAATCTGAGTTTATAAAAGGTACTTAAATGTAGTGTGTTCTAAATATAGGTTGAGATGGAAATGAAGGGACGTTCAACAAAGTTGAATTTGTGATGAGGGAGGAAGGAAAGGGAAAGGACAAAAATTAGCTTTAAATAAACCTTCTGGAGATGTGCTCAGGTAACAAATTACTGAACAAAGAGAGTTCTAATATTCTTTAACATCAGTACTTAGCACTTAGTTAACAGCTCAGCTTGGAGATGAAGAAGCCAGTCAAACTAGTAGCAGCTAGTGTAGGACAAACACAATCACAAAATGTGGTTTATTGTAAACCCTCCTATCCCTATTTTGCTTCCTGTAATATTCATTCATTCATTCATTCATTCATTCATTCATTCATTCATTCATTCATATTCTTAAACACTGCTTGGAACTTAATCTTCTGCTCTGATTTGTAGAGTTCTTGGAGATCAGATTTAATTACATAGAATTTGCATAGCAAGTATATTTCTGATCTGGAAATTAACTTGCATTTGAATGAATGTAAAAGATACATCTTTTTGTTTTAACTAGTGAATGGAAAATGGGCTTCCTGGTCTAGCTGGAGTGCCTGTACTATGTCTTGTGGAGGTGGTACCCAACAGAGAACAAGAGACTGCTCAGACCCACCCCCAGAGAATGGTGGGCACAAATGTGAAGGGAATGATCTCCAGGTTGACTTCTGCAACACTGACCTCTGCCCCAGTAAGTGCACAGGGCAAATGTGGCATATACTGAGAGGGATTTCATCTTCTGGGAGATTAAACAACAGGATTGACTGCGGGCCAGGGAGAACTATAATGTTACATTCCAAGGAGGGGGCAGAGAAGCTATTTCAATACAGTTATTTCCAAAAGTGCTCCCTTGTTTTTTCTTAAAAATAGACTGACCATAAACATGGTACATTCTTTTTATTTTTATTAATTTATGGCCCTCCAAATGGTATTTGACTGGCAGACTCACCTTGTATGACCATTAGCTGATTGAGGCTTTAAAATTTGGAATTCAAGAACATGTGGAAGGCCTCCTATTTTATATACAACTGAAACTATGGGCATCAATAGGAGGGAATAAAGTAGGTACAAAAAGGTACAAAAAGTACATTGCAGCAAAAGCTTTTGGTGAGTGATGCTGGAAGAGGCAAGCAGCAGATTGGCTAACACATTAAAGGACAAAAAACACAATTCAGAATAACTTGGACAAGCCTGAACATTGCCTTCAGAGTAACAGGATGATGCTCATTATAGTAGTGGTAAATGTAAATTCCTACATCTGAATAGGAAAAAACAAAAGCATAGGCACAGAGTAAGGAGTGTAATACAGCAGAAAAGAAGGCCAATGAAAACGTGGGCTACATTAAGAGATTTGTTGTATCCACATCACAATTTATACTAATTTTATTCAATTCTACATTGGTTAAATCACATTTGGAGTATTGCAAAGCAGTGATGTAACATGGGCATATTGAGGTACACCCATAACTGCCTATGCAATCACATTCTGGACCAGTTGCAGGCTCTGGGTGGTCTCCAAGGGCAGCCCAAGGTAGAACTTATTGCAGTAATCCATTCAGGAGGTGACCAAGGCATGAGTGACTGTGAGCACTGCTTCCCTATCTAGGAAAGGATGCAATTGCTGCCCAAGACTAAGTTGTGCAAAGGCCCTCCTGGCCATAGCTGCCATCTGTTCATAGTGTCTCTTGTGCTCTTCAGTATTAAGAATACTGATTTGAAAAATGTCCTGTTCCCACAGCACACGGAAACTGGGGCCCATGGAGCAACTGGGGGACTTGCAGCCGGACATGTAACAGTGGCCATATGAGAAGATATCGGACTTGTGACAATCCTCATCCACTCAATGGAGGAAGAGCCTGCGCTGGGGCTGATACACAGATTCAGAGGTGTCATGCAGAGCTATGTCCTGGTGAGTTATCTTGAGATAGATAGATAGATAGATAGATAGATAGATAGATAGATAGATAGATAGATGAAACACAACATTTTAGATGTCTGTAAAATACTGATATTGTTTCTAACAATAACAATACAAACATACCAGAACAAGAAGTCTGTTCGCACATTTCATGGGGATAAAAATTCATCAGCAGTTCTGATTGTTTTGAAGTCCAGATATCTGTGAATGAGCTATCTGTTGTTTGTTCTTTTGTACCAAACTACATATTACTAGAGTAGACCTTGAGTATAGCTCTGTTCCCCCAAAAATAGTGGTGCATAGGGACATAGACTAAGGTGCTGAACCCCCTTTGCACTGACTGTTTTGCTTTACACAGCATGGAGGCACTTTTCACCCTAGCCCCCGATTGAAGAAAAAAGACTTTAGGGGGTGTGTTACCTTACACTGGTACCTGGAATCCACTCTCTTGACCTCCTTTGGGGGTGACTGAGATAAACCCAGTTTTGAAGAAACTGACCTCCTGTACGTGTTACTTAGCTTGCAAACAGCCACCAGATATCTTCCTTATTACTATTTTACTACACAAAGTAGATGTGTAAATATGCATGTGATTTTAATGTGTCTGAATGTGTCTATTTAAAGTTTGTGACTAGAGTTCCCTAAGCTATATGCAACTGAAGAATCTTCCATCCCAAAACTCAACTTCCTTCCCTTGCCTGTTCTTGCTCTATCTTGCTATTTCAATCATAGATTTCATTTTATCTCCATCTATATACATTTTAATTATTGTTAGCCCTTTCATTCATTTAAGTAAGAAGATGAGATATAAATTGAATAATTAGCAGTAACAGTACTGATTTCAGTTAGCATATAATAGATGCATTTGTCATTACAAAAAAAAAAAAACCCTTTAGAAGTATTAATGAGTCACGGACCAGAATTACAAATAAAAATGCATTAAAATACATTGAAATACATTAAAAATACATTAAATGAAATGAACAGCACATGATAATATATTTACAGATTGGTGGGGTCATCTGTGGGCAGTCAAAACCTGCCTAATTTTGCAGACAGTGTAGCAAAATTTAGCTACGTTCAAGGAAACTAA